ATTTTCGAAATATCCTTGAATGACGTGAAGCAAATCATTCATTTTATCTACGTCATGCTATTTTAAAAATAATAATATTCCCACAAACTCCGCCGACAGTATTATTTAAATTCGAGTCACTGGTATAGAAAATAGTTCATTCTCAAATATTCATTAGTTGGCCCATGTTATATGGATATCGTAAAAGGCGACATCATACTGGGATCTACACCTAATAACTATAGATATTCCAATATCGCTCATTTTCGCTGCAAAGCAGTCATTCATTCACCTCCAAAATTAATGCACGTCAATTTTTCGGACAAAAATATACTTTATCCTGATTGGTTTAAGAGTCATGGTCATCGCAGTGAAGCCGTAACGTGCCATGTAGTCGCCGAGCCATGAAACACCTTTGATATGTAACGTTTGACATCCTATTCAAAGTCAGAATGCTGTTTTATTTTTATTTATTTTTCCTCTTCAAATACCGCTTTTTTATTGTTAAAATAGTACTGACAGACGAGTATATGACCAAAGTAATGATTAGTGGTTACCATCGGTATAGGGAAGACACTGTTTATTGCTGTTGCAATGTTGTAACAAAATATGATGAAGTGTAATATAATATATATGTAATTAATATATTTAACGGCCGTCTGGTGTAGTGGTAAGTGACATGGTCACTACATACGGGGGTCGCGGGTTCGAATCACGCCAAGGGAAGATATTTGTATAATAAATAAAAATGTATTTTCCAAGGTTATGGATGTATCTTAAATATATGTATGTGTATAATAAAAATCTAGCATTTATTTCCGTTATCTGATACTTGTAAGACAAGTTCTTTACGGACTTATCACGGGACCAGTTAACGTGGCGTGATTGTTGGTAAATATTTATTTATTTATTTATTAATATAGCATTCGTTTGTAAGTCTATGGAGACAAAGACAGGTCCATCTATAACGTTAATTAATCAGAAGAATGTTGATCATCTCTTTAGGGAAGTCTGGGTCTTGATGGATGACTAGATTCTAAGCTAACAGTTCAATCTTATGATTTTATCAACATAAGAATATTGAATGTCAGATTGCAATCTTTTGGGCCATGCTTGATCTATTAACATGTCTTAAAAGTCTACTTATCTTAAAATACATGTACAAACGTATTCACTTAATTTTTCCCTGGATAATGGTAATGACCATGAAGCAAATAGATTTCCACAAAACCTTCTACTTACATATTACCGCTACTATAATATGCCTGTGTTTTTCGGTTTATCAAATTCCCACCCAGCAGGCTGGTTCTGACCCATGGGAAATCATGGAGTACTAGCGGCACCGTCTGGGTAGACTGCTGGGCCGCCGTGCCACAGAAACCGGTACCGTTGGTCGTCGACAATCACCTCGACGATCCATCGATGGGGCGTTTTTGGGGTGTAGCCATGAGTCTGGTTGGTGTAGTGTTGACTTCAGGAACCTCCCTACTCTGCCCGGATCTGACCCTGGGTTGTGATTGGACATCGGGTGATAGAGTGCAAGAGGAGTCGTTTGGTAGATACGGCCCTAAAACATCCTTGGGCCCGCAGTCCGCTCCAATCATCTGCGAACTGTCAAGAGCTACATACCGCGCGAGCCCGTGGCTTGGCTTGGGCCCTCTGCCTGAATAAAGGAGTTGGATTCCGGGCCATCAAACATACTAGGTTTTTTTAAATAGATTTACTGCTTTGTCTAAGTGCTTTCTCTTTATGAGACATCTATGTGACCTAGTAAAATTTTAAATAAATTTATCATGCAGCTAATCGAGATTTTTTGCGTTTTCATACTAGACCATTGAGATTTATGTTTTAAGTCCCCAGCGATGGAAATAAGGCAATTTTGTCCAAGTTTGTTTACCGCCCTTTAAAACAAGCCTTTCATAACTTTGTACCATAATTATTTGCTGGTGCAATGGAGCTTTGGGAACTGTAAAGCTCCACAGTTTTGGAACTTTTAATTTATATTCTGGCGCTATGCCATTTAACCGGCTCACATAAATCTCTTTTTATATTATTCACATATTTTTTATTTGCTAACACGATTGCATATTGTTTATGGCTTGTATCAATTTAATGTGAACTTTTATATATATGGGATATTATTGAATGATTTTTGAAGGTGAAACTGTAAGTTTTTACATCTGAAAGACAGATTTTTGGTCATTAAATATGGAAACGGACTTTGGTTTCTTTGTTGAATATCCCGACAGGACAGTATCATTTTAAAATGTGACCTTAAATGAGCTTCGATATCACTCACCAGGTGTAGGTAGGAGGTAGGTGTAGGAGATGTTAAATAGAAAACAACTGTTGAAATGGTGATTGAAAACTGAACCGCTCGAGAATGAGGACGTACTTGCGAACCGGATTTGCCTAATTTGTAGGTTATATATAAATGAATTACGTGGAGGTAACTGGAATCAGCTATCTATTGTGAGCTTGGAAGTCTTAGGCAGGCTTAGAGGAGGATTAGGAAGTTTATAGGATACACTCATAGTTCCTCATATGCCCGGTGTTTCGTGAAATACTACCTAGTATATCTCACAGGCAAGTCTCATTTGTTCCTAATAAATACCCCATAAACTATTTTACCTAACAAGTGTCCATTTGGTATTATGGTAGGCAGCGGCTTGGCTCTGCCCCTGGCATTGCTGACGTCCATGAGTAACGGTAACCACTTACCATCAGGTGGGCCGTATGCTCGTCTGCCTACAAAGGCAATAAAAAAAAATAAAAAAAATACGACGCACGATGAGAGATAGAATCGTATTTTAAAAAAAATACATTAAATGCTCTTCTTCAAACATTTGGTTGATGTTCATAAGTATTGGCACATTTCAGCCTATTTAAAATGCAATACAATTTAGATGACAACTTATTATCTCAAGGAGGGTTCGAAACTATTTTATGACGTCTATGAACTCCCCTAACATTAAATATATATTATGAACCTATATAACACTCCAATAACGTTAAATATATGAACCTATATAACGCAAAATACATCATATTATATACTTCTTTAATTACATAGTTTTACAGACTTCAATTTAACAGGAGGTTCGTAGTAATAAGCTTCCTCCAGTTAATTGAATCCAAATCTCTTGGTTACAAGGCGTAGCGTCCAATTATCGCGTAGCTTCGTAGACGCGCTACGCCATAACGTCACCTACGGAAGCGATAACGATATTTGGAACGCGGCTTGAGAAGTTAAGATCGAATTTTAAGTTGCTGAAATATGTCTCGTTGATGATGATGATTTTTTATTGTTATTGTTATGATTGTTTTAGCTTGTGTTATGCTGTATTAGAAATAATGCGACCAAAATTTTTAAAAATAATACAAGCGAATATTTAAAAATCAATAATTAACGTACATAATATTATATTTTATTAATATTATTGATTAAAATGCAATTTATTTTAATCTTAATTTACAAAAATGGAATACTTTGTAAATTTAATTATTCTATAGTTTTTAATTACTGTTATAAGAAATTAACCGAAGACCTTGTTATAAAACAAAATAATTCACTGAGAATAACATTTATTTCACAATCACCACCCTGCCTATTTCTGCCGTGAAGCAGTAATGCGTTTCGGTTTGAAGGGTAGGGCAGCCGTTGTAACTATACTTGAGACCTTAGAACTTGTATCTCAAGGTGGGTGGCGCATTTACGTTGTGGATGTCTATGGGCTCCAGTAACCACTTAACACCAGGAGGGCGGTGAGCTCGTCCACCCATTTAAGCAATAAAAATATAAAAAAAATACTGGCAAGTCTCACGCTTATGAATGTCGGTAACGAAATGAGCTGTTATTTCTATTAAAGATGCTATGAATGAACAAAAATACTGACCGTGTGTGTATATGATGAGGATCGATGGGTGCCATTTGGTATGAGGCTAGGCTAACAGTATCTATGCAGATTTGTGAATTAAATGATTTATGAAATAAATGCTTTAATAATTTTGCTGATTTTAATTTTAATTTTAATTTTACTAACTTAAATCTATGTATTTCTCTATTAACAACATATGGACTTATAATGGTCTGAATTAAATGATTTTTATTTTATTTATTTATTTTTATGTGTCGATCGTCTATTTACTGGATTAACTAAACTGTTTAAATCGGTATAATTGGCGCGCGACTCTTTGTAAGCATTTAGGAACATAGTCGTGTATTTACATAGAAACGAAGCTGAGATAAAAATTAAGTAGACGATGACCGAGCTTTGCTCGGTTTTTTTTTTGATAACGCCGTCTTGTTGTGCCTTTAAAGCGATTAGTTGCAAAAATAGTATTATTAGCCAATAGATATCGGGAAGAGTTGATTATTGAAAACAAGAATAAAACAACATTTTCTGAAAATAAACCGTAGCTAGATCGATTTACACGGCCGTCTGGTGTAGTGGTAAGTGACATGGTCACTACACAAGGGGGTCGCGGTTTCGAATCCCGCCAAGGGAGGATATTTGTATGATAAATATAAAAATATCTTTTCCAGGGTTATGGATGTATATTTAATACATGTATGTATTACTGTATTTCATAGACCCTGCCTATTTCTGCCGTAAAGCCGAAAGATGCCGGTTCCGGTTATCGAACAGTTTAGACGTACGTCAACGATCTCCGTAAATATTTATCGAACTCTTTGCAAAAACCAGTGCATTCAACCGTATTTCTATCTAATATTTTTGAAGAAAACACAAATAAAAGGAATTAATATAAAAAGTCAGTGGAAACCAACGTTTTGTGAAAAAGTATACAACAAATAACATTAAACTATAACCTAAAAACTATTAAGTCATTGAAGTGAAGTGAGCAACATATTACAATCACAACAAAAACTGACACAACAAGTGACATTCACAACAGGGCTACCAACGAAAATACAGTGATCACTAAACGCGACTCAGTGTTGCCACACAAAACACAGTGTTCCCAAAAAAAAAAAAAACCTTAAAATGGAGGAAAAAAATATGGAAAAATTAATAGAAATACTAGATAAGAAACTCAACAATCAAACACTTGCTATTACAACTTCTGTAACGAAAAATGTAATGGAAGCGCTTGATGAAAAGATGAAACTTATCATGAAGGAAAATAGTATACTCAAAGCCAAAATTACTGAACTAGAAACGGAAGTGAAGTTTTTGAAAGATGAAAAACGGAAAAACAATCTAGTATTTTTTGGGATAGAAGAAATAGGAAAAACTGAATGTGAGCTTGTAGACTGCATAAAGGATCTCATAGTGGACTCGGGAACACAGCTGGATAGTAATGAAATCAGTAAAATATACAGAATTGGAAAACAGGTCAACNCTATACTGGTGAATAACAATCCACTAGAATATGTCAAGGAGTACATATATTTAGGCCAGGTAATTGCTCTGGCTGATCAGACCACAAAAGAGATAGACAGGCGCGTGGGAAATGCCTGGAAACAGTTTTGGAGCTTGAAGGAGGTCATGAAGAGTGGTGGTATCAGTATAGGCATTAAACGGAAACTCTTTGATGTCAGCATACTCCCTGTACTCACATACGGCTGCCAAACTTGGGCACTCACTTAGTATTATTATTATTATTATTTATTATTTATTAGTATATTGTTTATTTATCTGTACTATTTGGAACTCCTGTATGATTCAATCGTATTAGGCTTTTTAGTATAACTATACAAGTCTCTAGTATTTGTTATTTAAAGGTATAATTTATTTCTGAGAATGCTAGCTTTTACTTTTTCCGTTACACCATATTGTGTCTTTCCTCGGTGATGTTGTCAGCTACTTGTTTTTTCCCGTTCGATTTTAGCAAACGATTTTAGGGACATTTCAAGATATTTTGTGTATTTTCTTTCTGTGTCCCTGGCGTTAACTGATGCCTATTTCGGCCGATAAAAATACGCAATAGCAATTGAAATTCTTTAATATAAGATGCATAAAGTCGGACCACTTCATGCGATTACTGTATTTCATAGACCCTGCCTATTTCTGCCGTAAAGCAGTAATGCGTTTCGATTTGAAGGATGGGGCAGCCGTTGTAACTATACTGAGACTTTAGATATTATATCTCAAGGTAGGTGGCGGCATTTACGTTGTAGATGTCTTTGGGCTCCGGTAACCGCTTAACGCCAGGTGGGCCATGAGCTCGTCCACCAAGCTAACCAAGAAAAAAATAAAAAATAAAAACGTCTCAACACGTCGAGATCTTAATTGTATATTGCATAACAGCTATCTCATTCTACAAACTATGTAGAACGCACACCTGATTTATCGTAGAATGACGGTAAGCACTGGCTGAGCTTGTCATAAGCCCTACCACCAGTTAAGGTATATCTCTTAGTTGTATTTTCGACTCTCTACTCTTGAATGACGTCACATTAAACGATTTGAGGATTTCTTTAAAACGATCCCGTCATCATCATTGTACCATTCGGCAACCGGTCAGAATTCATCTGCACTTATTCATAGTGCATTTTAAGAGATATTTGTGTCCGTCATTATCGCCTCTGGAATGAAGTCTCTTCCATGATGTACTCGAAGTCTTTTTTTTATTGCTTAGATGGGTGGACGAGCTCACAGTCCACCTGGTGTTAAGTGGTTACTGGAGCCCATAGACATCCACAACGTAAATGCGCCACACACCTTGAGATATAAGTTCTAAGGTCTCAGTATAGTTACAACGGCTGCCCCACCCTTCAAACCGAAACGCATTACTGCTTCACGGCAGAAATAGGCAGGGTAGTGGTACCCACCCGCGCGAACTCACAAGAGATCCTACCACCAGTAAGATGTCCTTCTCAAACGAAACTGAAAAGAAGGACTCGTATGTTTTATTCGATAATAATCACAGTGGAGCGTCGACCGGTCTTTACTAGAACAGTAATAAAAATCTTATCGAAAAACAATCTTTCTGAAAATTTCCATAAAATTTCACAAATTAATTAAAGCAATTCAAGTTTAAGAAGCGTTAAATCAAATTTCATTTTTACGTATAAAGCAGACATCAAATTTGCAATTCAATATTAATTTTTACATTCAAGAGTTACTCTAATGAAATTTGATTTTTAAAGTTGATATTAAAAGCTTGGGCCACTTTTAACGTCAAATTTTGTATTCCGGCACGGATGAGTTCAATCAATCTGATTATTTTTGCCGTGATTTATTCATGCTTTTGTATGACGGGAAAATCTTTATACATTACACAAATTGGGCCGTGTTCTCGTTCACTAAATATGTATTACAATAAAATAAAAATGATACTCAAACGCACGCGTAATGAGTGAGATGCTCAGTATTTTAGTGTCGAGAACCACATTTTAGTATTTAGTATTTTTACTATGCTAACTATTGGTTGCACTAAACGTTAATAGCTTAAGCAGTTTACAGATTGTTAACTAGTAGCAGCTTAGTAGCAAAAACAGCTTGTAAGTACCCTCCCGCGTCACGCGACATAGCTGTTTTTATTATGTTTTTAACTTTCGAGGCTATGTTCATTATCAAAGCTATCATTTAACAAGTTCTCACTAACATTTTTGCATTATATGAATTCTCGATATTTCGGCGCTGTTATAAGCGCCGTGATCACCGGTAGATTTTTAGACATTAATTTTACCCATAATGAATTAACAGTATTTTGGAGCTGACCGTTTGTCGGTAAGCTGTTCGAAACATCAGAAATAATATAATGATAATAATAAACGCGAAATTAATTCGTAAAAATGGTTACAATTAAGATTTATTTATTGATTTATCGCCGGCTGGTCGAGGCGATCTGCTGTGGTAATCTACCTTGTTTATACATTTTAAGAAAATAATAATCTTTATAGTTTTTGTTAAATGAATTGTTTATAGCATAGCGTCGCATGTTGGTACTGTAAATTATTGTCATGTACTGCACGATCTGAAGTAATTGTAACTATTTTAATGTTCTCATTTAAGTGAATCTATGTAATTCTTTTGAGAATAAAGAATATCTTTAACCCGANTGTGGTAATCTACCTTGTTTATACATTTTAAGAAAATAATAATCTTTATAGTTTTTGTTAAATGAATTGTTTATAGCATAGCGTCGCATGTTGGTACTGTAAATTATTGTCATGTACTGCACGATCTGAAGTAATTGTAACTATTTTAATGTTCTCATTTAAGTGAATCTATGTAATTCTTTTGAGAATAAAGAATATCTTTAACCCGAAGAACTAAAGCTCGTCCACCTATATAAGCAATAAAAAAATACTGGGTTCGACTGAACGCGATTGGTCTGCACTTTTCAATTGAAAACCTATTTCCATAGAATCAAACAGAATTTTTTTTTAATATTTTTAATGGCTTAGACCGGTTACATTGAAAATTCGAATAAAAAATAAAAAACCAAACAAATTCCATTAACAAATTCCTTGAATTTCTATTAAACTTCAAAGCAGTATTGAAATCAGCCACGGCTTACAAAAGCAGAGCTCATTATTTTCTTTTCTTTGGTTTAAAAATGGAAAAATACAAAAGAAAAAACAAACAAAAAAAATGCATTCCGATTTCAAAAGTTTCGAACCTATTGAAATTCAGGAACCCAAGATCCTGCCGAGAGGTCGGGTCAGTACGCGAGTCGCGCTCGGCGGGTCCGCACGCGCCAACATGCCGTGAACAGAGCGTTAAGATGCGGACGATAGTGCTGGTGTACATCGCGTTGCAGTGTATGTGCGAGTGCGATGTGAGGAAACATGGGCACGCTCTGATAAGACACGGGCGGTCCCGCGTGCATTTCACGCGCCTACACTCGCGACCAAAGGACCTCATCGCTAACTCAGACAGAAATGATTTCGGTATGTGCTTTTTTTTTAGATCACTCAAAGTAGCAGAGCTGCTGTTGTAATATTAAAGTTTTTTAAAAGTTTAATAATAGAAATCTACGACATCTGGTATATAGGAGAGAAACATAATATTAATTAGTACGGAAAACTTTGAGCTCGTTTTGAGCAAAAACATAAAATTGATCGTCTTAATAGAAAAGTAATAGAATGAATAGATCTTAATAGAAAAACCCCACTAAACGGATTCTTTTTATTTTTACGAATTATAATCACTAAAAAAGACGAGACGACAGTTCTTAGGATTGAATCGTACTGTATTTATTCCACGTTGTTAGAACGCTGTGTGGTGACATTAATGATAAAAATTTTGTTTATTTTTTATTTTATTATCATTATTATTTTAAGATAAGAAAAGTAGTGGTTCTAAACCCTAAATAAATAAAGAATATATATTTTAAATTGCTCTTAATATTTTACATTTCAGTTTCTAAGAAAAAACTTAATGTGTTTAATTGGAACTAATAAGGTTTTAATAAAACACCCTTGAATTCTAATACCTTTCGACACTACGAGGCAGAAAATTGTTTTGCAAATAATTCGAAAGATGTAAATTTGGTTTCGGCGAATCGAGATCTGAAGTTTATAAAGATTAATTTAAATTTAAATTTTAATGTTTTTGAAATGCAATATTTTATTGAAAGTTAAATTAATAAGTCTTTTAGTGCTCTTTGTATTGTTTGTTGATATAAGTCGTCATCTACAGTAGAGAAATCCACAGAAAAAAAATATTGCTAAGATGCGTGGACTAGCTTACAGCTCATCTGGTGTTAAGTGGTTAACGGAGCCCATAGACATCAACAACCAAAATGCCGCTATCCAGCTTGAGGCACGAGCACTAAGTCTCAGTTTTACAGTATATCGGCTGCTCCTTCCAGCCGAAACGCATTACTGCTTCGCGGCAAAAATAGGCAGGGTGGTGGTACCAAATCAAATCAAATCAAATACCCAATCATGCGGTCTCATAAGACGCATATTTGCAGGCGGCGGCTGGGCTCTGCCCCTGGCATAGCTGAAGTCCATAGGCGACGGTAACCACTCATCACCAGCTGGGCCATACGGCCTTATAAAAATTTTAAAATATAAAATTTTAAATAATAAAAAAAACGCCCTACCAGTCCTTTTATGTTATTTTATTCTCATAGCTAGAGAAATTCAGATCTAATATATGATTTAATATATTATATTTACTTTACGTTACGACTTTATTTTGTACATACTGAGCTGATAAATCTGCATATAAAATTTAGATAATGACAACAAATAGCTGGGTAAAATTTTCTCATCTGTTCTTGAGTCGATTTTGTTTGTTTGTTTGTTTGTAGGTATGTATAAGCCCTAGTTCTTGTTTTTAAAATATAAAAAAAATTGTTAGTTTTACAAACAAAAAAATCAAACGGAAAGAAAAATTGTAATACAGAAAATAAATCGAAAACTCGAGGTGTCCCGTGAGTGTGGAATGGAGAAGTGCAGTCAGTATACGAGACAAGCTTGTGAACATGCGTTAGGTACGTGTTTGATTAGAAAAATGCCTGGCTGCGGAATTTGAATACTGGCATAGACGCATCTCACATTACGAGTGCACCGGGCGCCCTATCTTTTAGGCCACAGCCACATCACAAGCATTAGTAATCACGCATTTTTGTTTTATTTTGACGGGTTTTGAATGGTCGGTTCGCTCTTTGTCGTCTATTTAGTTTCTTTAAAAAAGGGAATTGAAAAATGCCCACTGTCATCCTTCTTTTCTTTTTTCTATGTTCTTTCTTTCAGGTTTTTGTCATCCTTCTTTTCTTCTTGCTGTTCCTTTTTTCATGTTCTTGTCATCCTTCTTTTCTTCTTTCTATGTTCCTTCTTTAATGTTCTTGTCATCCTTCTTTTCTTCTTTCTATGTTCCTTCTTTAATGTTCTTGTCATCCTTCTTTTCTTCTTTCTATGTTCCTTCTTTAATGTTCTTGTCATCCTTCTTTTCTTCTTTCTATGTTCCTTCTTTCATGTTCTTGTCATCCTTCTTTTCTTCTTTCTACGTTCCTTTTGTTTTTTTCCAATCTCTTCTCGAATCACACATGTCAAATCCCTCTCTTAGTCTATGTCCGGTCATTGTAGGTTGTATGTCCTATCAAAGGAGTTACACGCTACGACAGATTTTGTTTCGTGAATATGATACTATTTCGTAATGAATACCTTGAACGCTAAGCATAAACGGCAAATTAGTTTAAACTTACCTAGTTTATTTTGTCAAAATTTAACAAGGCCACCGGGGACGCGCGTAGATTGCCTAAATACGAGACTCACCAAATATTACTTCGCGACACGTTCGTATTTGTTTTCAAGTTGTATGGTTCTTGTTCGTGCTAGTTGCTTGTAATTTTCAGTCATTACGCTGAGACAGTGTTGTTCCACCAGCACTTAAGATAGGGATTATTACAATTTTGAGAGTAAGACATTAAAATAGAGTAGAATACTAATAACAAATACACAAGATAATATTTTTTTATTGCCCTTATAGGCAGATGAGCATACGGCCCACCTGATGGTGAGTGGTTACCGTCGCTCATGGACTTCAGCAATGCCAGGGGCAGAGCCAAGCCGCTGCCTCTTAATACTCTCCACAAGCCTCGTTTGAAGAAGGACATGTCATAGCGCTCGGGACACACCGTGGAGGGGAGCTCATTCCATAGCCCAATGGTACGGGGCAAAAAATACCTCTGGAAACGCACTGTGGATGACCGCAGTGGCTCCAGGTAGTAGAGTTCATTACTCCGGAGGCGGGTGGTGCGATGAATAGTTTAGAAGTTTTCTTAATAATTATTAAGACGTCATTAAGGCTCTCTGACCAAATACTTAAGGCATCTTAAAATTTGATGCTATTCAAGAGCTATTAACATAATCAAACCGGGCCATTAATATAATATGTCTTCCCACTTACGTTTCAGCTTTGAAGTGCTAGAGTGTCTTTTAGCTATCGATGTCTCAATTCTGAGTATACAATTTTCGGTGAACACAACAATTTTCGGTGAAACCTACCCAAACAATCGAATGTCGATATTTGTTGGATGCTTGGGTTCCTTGAATAAAACTTCCAAATCGATCCTGAGCTTGTATTTTCCTGATACATGTTTTTCTTAATTTATATGTTGCGAACAAGTTCAGCTCTCTGAAACTGCGATACTTTAAGACAAATATTTTGTTTGTATGGAAACTAGCGACATCTTGTAGCGGATGCCCCTCAACTGATATGCTGTTAAAGTTAAGGCGTTCAATTATTGTATAACTAAACACAGAAAATAAAAAAAATATAAATCATTCAAGTCTTTATTTGTTATCAATTTGTGGTTTCTGAAAATTTACAAAATCTTTCATTAAAAATAAAATACATAGGTAATATGTTACTGCCATCTACAGGAGCAATGAGAAACTAATCGAAGCGAAGCCATCTAGTGGCCGACGCCCGTAAACATTTTTGTTGAGTGCTTGAGTTGCTTATCTATAACTAATTTATGTGTATTATCTATGAACAAGTTAGCTTGGCACGGCGATTAATTGAAGTGTAATGGTGTAGGTAAACATAAATAAAACTTTCAAAATTGCTCCTTAAAATTTAGTAGTCGTTAACAATATTATTAATTTAAAAAAATTGTTGTTTAAATATCTGGAATAAGTTACCATCCGGAATTTTATTCTCCGTCTGACCTACTATTAAAACAAGAAACCGTCCATCGCGGTTAAAAAGGACCGAATATTACAGTTCTGTAAGAGGTACCATAAATATATACTAAAGGCAGAGAGCGTGCTAGCTCTGGGGAGTCGTTTAGTTAGCAGGGTCCTAAATTCCATCCCTTAGGCCCGCGGTCTGCTCCCAACATCTGCAGACCGTTCTGTCCCACATAACCCGCGCATCCCCTAGGTGCGGAGACCTTGTAGGAGGTTAGCCACGGAGCGAAAAAAAAGGATTGTCACACAAAAATTGCGATAATCTTTATGTTAAAGTACAATTCTAATATCGTGTTTTAAGGTGAGTCCACATCCTATTTGCAGTGTCTATGTGTTAACCCTTTGACTTTCATGTAGGTCACCGGTGCCCTACGCGGCGCACTGAAGTGATTACGCCAATGTCAGTTATGAAACTCCTGGATTACGTAGAATATGCTTTAATCTTTTAAGTCTCTTAGAAATAGATTCATTCTCAATATTTTCGGATTCGACTTTCCCAGTCTATTAGATTTTTTTTTATTCCTTATATGGGTGAACGATCTCACAGCCCACCTGGTGTTAAGTGGTTACTGGAGCCCATAGACATCCACAACATAAATGCACCACTCACCTTGACATATATAATAAGTTCTAAGGTCTCGAGTATAGTTACAACGGCTGCCCCACCCTTCAAACCGAAACGCATTACTGCTTCACGGCAGAAATAGGCATGGTGGTGGTACCCACCCGTGCGGATTCACAAGAGGTCCTACCACCAGTAATTATGCAAATTAAAATTTTGCGGGTTTCATTTTTATTAGACGACGATATGTCGGTGCTTTGGCAACAAAAAACGACATAGTTACTTCAGTGCGCCACGTAGGGTCACCAGTGACATTCATGACAGTCAAAGGGTTAATAAACAAATAACAGCAGGATCACTCTTTTGTGTTACTAAAAAACGACTCCAACATTTGGCCTAAATTAGCACATCTCTTCCCACAGTCGCATAAGGGATTTATCGAAGAATAGGCAAAAACGTTATTTGAAACCTAAGTATCATAACCGTGCGATACGATTGCTAGTCTGTAGATAGCACAGTCTATATTTCCACAAAGCAATCATGCGATCCTACAATTAAAACTTAGACTTTATATCTCCAATTGCGTAACAGTAAACAGTTAAACGGCCGTCTGGTGTAGTGGTAAGTGACATGGTCACTACACAAGGTGGTCGCGGGTTCGAATCCCGCCAAGGGAAGATAT